AGCTCACTTTGTAGCCCAGGCTGGCCTCAAACTTGCAATGATCCTCCTGCCTCAACCTCCTGAGTGCCGGGATTACAGATGTGCACCACCATGCCCAAAAGGAGCGTGTATATTCATGACCAGGTGTTAAACAATGTTTTTTAGAGCCAGACTTGGTGGTGTAATCCCAACACTCGGGAGGCTGAGGCAGGAGGATTGTTTCAGCTCGAGACCAGCCTGGGCAACTTACCAAGACCCTATCTCAAAACAAACAAACACCTATACATTTAAATAAATAGAGCTGGGCATGGTGGCACACACCTGTAATCCCAGCACTTGGGAGGCTAAGGCATTGCAAGTTCGAGGATCACTGCAAGTTCGAGACCAGCGTGCACTACAAAGTGAGCTCAAGGCCAGCCTGAACTGCATAGCGAGACCTTGTCTCAATAAATAAATAAGTAAATAAATAAATAAATAAATAGGACTGAGCATGTAGCTACTGAGATTGGAGGCCAGCCTGGGCTTGAACTTTTCTTGCACTGTGAAGGCCTTGGGCTGTATTCCGACTAACACACACCCACACAGTTCTATGATCAGGAATTATTAAAATATCACATGGAGGACTAGTGTGTAATCCAGTATAGAGTACTTATCTAGCATTTATGAGGCTCTGGGTTCATTCTCCAGCATTGAAAAAAAAAATATTTGGCCAATAATTGGGGAAAAAATAGAAGTGACACCTAACCTATAGTGAAGGAACCACAGGAGAAATTACTTCTAAACTGAGACTAGGTTGATGGACGAAAAGGAAGCAGTTAGGCAAAGATCAAGTATATCAGGCCAAGGTAACAAAGGTGAAAGCCTCTAAGCAGGAGAAGAAAGTACATTCTAACCAGGAACCCAAAAAATTATTTGTTTGTTTGTTTGTTCAATATTGGATTGAACCCAGGGCCTTGTCTATGGTAGGCAAGTACGTGACCACTGAGCCACATTCCCAAGGGAAACAAACAAACAAACAAAAAGCCGGGTACACTGACACATGCCTGTAACCCCAGCTTTCTCAGAAGCTGAGGCAGGAGGATTCCAAGTTTGAGCCCAGCATGGGCAACTTAGCAATGTGAAAGCCTTGGTTCAGTCCCCACTTCCACAAACAAAAGGACTGGAAAATGTAGATTACTTGGGCATGCGGCAAGCCTTACCCTGTAACATAAATGACACTCATTTTTGGTCTTGCACACAGAGCTATAGGTGTTCCATAGGCCTCTGAACTATGCAAGTCCCAGCTACCTTCAGGGCTTAGCTAGAGTGGTGAACTGCTATAAACAGGTGGCCAGCTGACCTTTTGGCCATACCCCTAGGGCTACCATTCCCTAGGGCCACCTCTCACGCATCCATATTGGTTTATAGCATCATTATGTGCAATCCTTTTGGAAAATTTGCGCATAGATCAAATCTAGAAGCAGGACATGGAGTCCATGAAATAAAGGCTCACTAATCCTTTCCTTGGCTGAAGTGACAGATAGCTGTTGCCTTCTGGGGTCTTTTTAACAAAAATTCTCAATATTCCAGCCAGGCATGATGGCACATGTCTCTAACCCCAGCACTTAGAGGCTGAGATAACAGGATTACTGAGATTGGAGGCCAGCCTGGGCTTGAACTTTTCTTGCACTACAGGGAGAACTACATAGCAAGAACTACATAACAAGATTGTCTGAAAAATAGTCTTGGAAGGAAGAAGGAAGGAAAGAAGGAAGAAGGAAAGTAAGGAAGGAAAGGGGAAAGGAAGTGCTGGGTGTGGTGATGCAGCACGCCTATAATCCCAGCATTTAAGAGGCTGAGGCAGGAGGATTGCTCAAGTTTAAGGCCAGCCTGGACTACATACTGACTTCAAGGCCAACCTGAACTACATAGCAAGACCCTGTCTCAGCAAACAAAACAAAACAGAACAGAAAGAAAATGAAGGAAGCAAGAAAAGAAATAAAGGCAGGTAGATCCACAGACTAAAAGAAGTCTGCACTAGATGGAACATAGAATTGGTGCTAGATAGGAGGAAGAAATGAGACCAAACAATGTCTCACATATCTTTGTATTCTCCAGCCATTGCCTGCTATATATTGAGTGCAAAGTGGATGTTTTAAGTGACTTGTCTCTTACTCTTAGAGATTTCTCCTTAGAGAAATAATTCTGCAGCACACTATGTCTCAGGCAGGGAAGGTGCTAAGAACAAAATTAGGAAACTGTTGTAATAATCGGAGGCAAATGTGATAAAGGCCTACAGGAAGGTGTTAGCAATGAGGATGGAGAGAGAAAGATTAAAGATGAATTAAGGAGGAAAAAATTGTCCAGGTTGTTTGGGTTTTAGTGTATGGGGAGAAGGAAGAGAACACAGGCTTCTGAGACACAGAACCCAGAGGACAAAACAGTATGGTAGTGGGGCATTTTTTGTTTTGTTTTTATCTTTTTTTTTTTTGCTACTGGGAATCAAACTCAGGACCTTGCATTTGCCAGGCAGTTGCTTGTGCTGCTGAGCTATGTCCCCGGCCCAAGTTTTTGTCTTTTTGAGACAGGGTCTCGCTCTGCAGTTCAGGCTGGCCTTGAGCTCACTTTGTAGCCCAGGCTGGTCTCAAACTCACAACAGTCCTCCTGCCTCAGCCTCCTGAGTGCTGGTATTACAGGGGTGTGCCACAATGCCCAGCTAGTAGGGTCATGCTGAGTATTGTCACTTACGAGACAGCCAAAGCCAGCAGTTGGTGGATTCTGTGGGACTGAAGCCCCCAGGGTTGAAAATAGGGATTTGAGAGTCGTGATGTCTAACTGGTTGCTGAAGACAAAGGAGTGATTGAGGTGAGCCCGCTGAGTGACAGCTCCAGGCAGAAACGTACAGATGAAAGCTATTGAAAGGATCAGCACAGTCAGTGAGGCTCGGGAGGAGACCCAGGACAACGTACTTCAAGCATCTTTAATCACCATCCAGTAAGTGTGCCAAAGAAACCAAATGTTAGAAAAACAAATTGGAAATAAAATATTAGAAATCTGTCACACATGGGAAATATCAAAACCTTAAAAGCTTCGTCCTTAGGCACCATAGGCACCCTAGAAAAAGATAGCTCTGATGCAAAGCTGAATGGGCTCAGCCCCACCCT